GGCATTTACCTCCCTAAACCACAACAAATCCTCCCCTTCCATCCACAGAGCTTTCCTTTAGATCAGAGGTCATGTGATCCAGGAAGCCTATCCTTTTCATCTTTGTGTCCCCATAGTCCAGTACAGGGCCTGGCATATAGTAGGAGCTTGGTACAGGTTTGTGGGAAGAGAGGAGAGTCCTGGTTTAGAGTCACTTGAGAAAGCCACTCCCGCCCTCCCCTTCCAAGCAAAGCCTGCTGCTTGCTCTGGCACTCCAGGGAGCAACCACTGAAGCATCTCCACACTTCCTCAATAGGCTGGAAGACAAGCCAGAGCCTGGGTCTCATTCATCTGTGCATGCCCACAGCTGGCCCCCAGCTAGCATATAGCAGGTGCTTATTAAAATGAATGGAATTGAACCCAAGATAAAATGGATGCACACACAGTCACTTCCTGATTTTTTAGGAGTGGCTTTTAGAAAGTAGGCGTGGCTAACCACGGTATTCTACTCATCACTCCAGGAGAAATAAAGCCAGAGCCATAGGATCTGAATCAGGGACCAAGGAGTGGGGTGCAGAGTGGAGGACAATTGTTTCTTTAACTCTCCCACAAACTTTCATGAAAGGTGTAAAACATGCCCCTGTTTGTGGAGGACAAAGGGAGGCAGGGCCCAGCCCTCCTGGAAGAGGTATGCAGTGGGCCTGGTAACCTGCTCAACCAAGGCAGGCAGACCAGTGATCGAGGAGAACCAGGGAACAGGGAACAGGCCTCTGGCCTGGACAGGTCCTTAGTCTCAACAAACACTCCAGCTTCAGGCTTTTGCTTTGTCCCAGTGGAAGCAGATGGGGTGGTCTGAGTCAATGTGCTACAGTCTTTACCTCGATTATTTCACTAGATGCTCATAGATAGGTTAAAGGGCTTCACCCAAGGGGATCCAGCCAGTAAGAAGCCAGGCAGGACCTGAATCCAGGTGGGCTGGCTCTGGTTCTCATACCCTGAGCTCTGTGCTCTGCTTGGTCCTGGCACCCACTGTCCCTCCTTCTCTTCCTCCCTCCCCCTGTCCCACCCAGCTCTCCTGCTTACCCAGCCTCTTGCCTTCCATGCCAGAGCCCTGATGCCAGTGTCTCTGCCCAAGGCAACATCCCTGTCCTCCTCAGGAAAGCAGCCCCTGCCTGTAGCACACTGAAGGCCAGAAGATGGATCCCTCTCCCACCCTTTTTCCCAGAACCACTAACTTTCACCTTCTTTCCATGGTGCTTTTCCTTTCTGGGCAGCAAAGTCTGGTGGCAGAAGCTAACTCTGGGGTCAGATAGACCTAGGGATCAAGTCATGTCACCAGCATGTATTCAGCACCTTCTATGCTGAGCATGGTATGACCTTACACAAGGCCCTGAACCTCTCTGAGCCTCAGTTTACCAATCTGAGCAGGGGGATAATGATACTAATGACTGTAAGCTCCATGTGGATTTATCAGTGTGTGCAAAAGACCCAGAACATGCCCAGAGCCAGCAAGAGCTGGTTTCCCCGCCCCTTCTCTCCACCAGTCCTTGTTCATATCAGTAAGAATGACCAGAGGAAGATGGGACCAGTGTTACCCACTTGTTTTACAGTGGGAGAAACTGAAGCCCAGAGAGCATGGATGACTTGCCCAGAGGAATGCTGTGTATTGTCTGTGGAGACCCAGGGTACACATGGTCCTTAGGGCCCACTCCTGAGCCTGGGGCCAGCAGGCTGAGTGGACTGCCCCCTCTCCCCAGCTGTTAGAAATCTCCAGAGCTCAGCAGTACATACACACAAGCCGGGGAATATATACATTCACCTTTATTTCTCTCCATGCCAAGAAATACAGAATCACTGGTGCATGTGGTGATGGCGGTAGGGAGGGGATAGTTTTTGCTGCTTTTTAGGGGGCCCAGAGAGAGAGTGGGTCAGTGCCCCCAGCCAGGAACCACTGTGTTCACATGGCAGGTGGCTGGATCTAAGACAGAGCTGGGACAGCAGGGCCACTGCCCCTCCTAGCTTCAGCCTGGAGACCCCAAGCTGCCCATGACTCAGGGCAGTAGGGACCTTCCCTCCATTTTCTCTCATCCAGGACACTGCTTTCTTCCTGCTTTGAGCTCCCCTCTGCCCAGCACCGGCCTCTGGGGTCTTCTGAGCTGTGTCCTTGGCACCACTAGGAAACTCTCACGTTGTTTGTGCTTGAACTGGAAGGGGGTCCAGTGGAGCCTCTTCTAGAGCTGTCTGCTGGTGGCTTCACCTGAGCATGGCCCTTGACTGTTCTGGGCTTGGAGTGTGGAAGAGTGTATATATGTGTGAAAGGGCATGCACAGTGGGCCTGATGTGCCAGTGTGATTATAGGCCAGGGAGACTGGATATGAGCAGCACTCCGAGGGCACAGAGGCCATAGAGACCCACCTCTGCCTCTGTTTCACCGTGTGACTATCCCTAAACCACACAATTCCTTTCCTTCTCCTCCAGGGTTGCTACAGCTGGGCCAAGGCCCAATGGGAGACCACAAGTGCATGACCAGAGGCCTGGGAGAAGCTGATCCCACAGACCTGATGTCTGCCCTGGCCTGACCTGACCTCTCAAGTGACATACATACTCTGGGCTCCCACACTCCCTCCCCTCCCAGCAAATGGGGATATCTCTGTTTTGGCTTCAAAGATCCCATAGGGCAAACCCAAACCAGCCCCTGCTTTAGGAACAGGAGAGGCTGGAGTTTAAGTCTATGTCACTGGGTAATGACATAGGAACACCAACCCCAAAGAGATCCCCTCAGTAGCCCTCCTCTCCCAGCAGACATTTGGGACCTGTCTGAAGGGCTCAGAGCTGCCACTGTCTTGGGACCCAGAGCTCCTCGCATGTGCAGAGCCTCTGAGAGGGCGGGAGTAGGGCAACGGCCCTGGAGAGGAGGGTACAGGGTCCAGATAGACCTTGCCAGCCTCAGAGCACTATGTCTGTGGCTGGGAACCTGTCCGCCACTGAGAGCAGTCACTCTGGTTGCAAGTCGGGGAAGCCTGGAGCATCTCCCTCCAGGTCTGACCTGGAGCTGGGGACCCTGGGAGTGAGTATTCTGAGGGTAAAGCCTTCTGAGGGAGAATGCTAGGGAGAATCAAAAATGTAAAAATCAGGCTGGAGGCAAAGGGCCCTGCTCAGCAGCTTTCAGGTGTCCATCCCTGTGCTTCCAACATGCAAGTGTTTTCCCAAACCTGGACTTCATGCTCTCCAAAGATGGTGCCCTTCAGCTATGCTCTTCCCTCTGTCTTAGGACTCAAGAAACAAGAAACAACAAACCTTCATAAAAATACCTTACCCCACTCTCTCCTGGGCATGGCAAACAGCCATAGCAGCCTGAGGACCCCCAGGAAGTCCCCCTAAGCGTGGTCCCAGAGCCACCTTCAGGGAAAGCCTTGGATGCATGACGATGGCCAGGGACACAAGGCCAAGCACAGAGCATTTGATGGGGCTGGGCTGGGAGGCTGAAGCCATGCCCAACCAGAACCACTCTTCATGGGGACCGCTGAGCCACCCTGCAGAGATTCCTGAGCATTTGTCCTTCAAGAAGGCCAGGACAGAACAAGCGCTCAGGCCCTCTTCCCCACTAACTGGCCTAGGTCAGGTCAGGTCTTGGGAGTTCTGTTAGTGCCCCAGGCTGCAGCACAGGTGAAGACCAAGAGGCAGACTAGGGGGTCCTGGGAGACACAAGGGGACCAGAGTCCTCAGCATAGAGGCTCTGAGGCTGAGAAGTTTGGAAGAGTATCATGCTGTCCCTGCATCTGTCTTCAACATTCCTCCCAGTGCCTCCACCTTGCAATAGAGAATGTACCTGAAGTTGCTCCCTCTTCCCAGGACAGCTGCATCACCCATGTGTCTGAGGGTATCCAGGGGATGTGCTGAGTGGCAGCCTCGCCTTGAAGCTCAGGCTGGGATCACAGCAGGCATGTGACACAAAGCATGCAAATGGTCTGTTTTCTCCCTTCAAGAAAAATACAAAAGATGAAATCCCACATCTTTGCTCCTGGTCCACAGACGTGAAGGTCCAGTGATGTTTCTTCTCCTACCACAGATGGACTTGTTTGTGGGGCTGGTTCTTCTCATTCTGGCAGTTTACGCTGCTTGGTAGGTCCAGGAAATTTGTAGGGATGAGAAACAAGCCAGAACATCGGGGTCAAAATGTCAGGACATATCCATGAGATTAACTTACATCATTCATTGGTTCCATGGCAAATTTCTTTCTTTCCTTCTTCTCGTCCTTCCTTCTTCCAGAAAGTGTGGGCTGACAATGGGATGACTTGGGAGTTGCCCTTTAAGTTTGTGCTTTTAGAGCTAGGGGACAGATGGGCGCTTGGCAGTCACCATCCTGTCCTCCCATGGTGTGTAGGGTGTGTGGGTTCGGAGCTCTCCAGCTGGCCAGCATCTGCCTCTGCTAGCACAGCTTCCTGGTTACTTGTGTTTTGGAACTGTAAAGAAAAGAACAGTAATGGCAGAACAGAGCTCAGAACATTGGATTTTCAAGCCCCTGATTTGAGAATTTGGTTTGTGGGAAATGATAATTGGATAATGTACAGGATCAAGGAACTCTTTGATTTGGGGCTTTTGGCAGAACTGAACTCCTGGCAATGAGAAGACTGGCCCTGGTGACTGGTTGAGAAGTAAGCATGTGACCCTACCTGGGCCAATCAGAATCGGACTTGGGACTGTTGCTGTAACTGTTAACAAAGCACTTCTCTTTTTTCTTGATTAGTTCCTGGACTGATTAAAATGTATGCCACTATTAGGGCCACTGTTAGAGCTGCTAGCTCTATCTTGCCACCATAGGGAGAGATCTTGCCTAGGAATGAAGCCAACACACTAGAAAGCAGCACAAGAGAGTGAGACAGACTCCTGTCACCATCACTCTCTCAAACTGGATCAGCTTTGCCCAAAACAGTCTATGCTAGAATTTTTTATTAAAGCTAAGAAATTCCCTTTGCCAGTTTGAGTTCAGAAACTCACTTGCCATAGAGTGTCCTGGCTAAAATGATGAGCAACAGCAGGACAAAGGGGGCTGGGGCATCATAAGGTGATACTGAGCCTAATACCCTGGGCTACTGGCTCCTGCTCTCATTTGCCTGTGCATGCATCAGACTCTGCACTAACAGAGTAAACTGAGGCTAATAGGGCTTGTGGGATATGCTTCAATTTCCACAGCAAGAAAGCAGAGGACCTGGATTAGGCTGACTGCCAATCTGAACACTCCTCTCTCCCGAGTGGCCCACCACTGGACTCCAGGCCTTCTGGCCCAAGTCAAGCTCCATACTCTAAACCAATGTATGCCACACTTCAATGGCTGGACTATGAATTGTACTAAAATGCAGATTCCAGTTCAGTGAGATTCGACATTTCTGACATGGTCCAAGGAGATGCTCCTGCTGCAGTCCATGGAGCACATTTTAGTTTTTTGTTTGGTTTTTATTTTGTTTTGATTTTTTTTTTTGAGACAAGGTCTCATTATGTAGTTCAGGCTGCCTTGAACTCACTATATAGCCCAGGCTGGCCTCAAACTCATGGCAATCCTCCTGCCTCAGCCTCCTGAGTGCTAGGATTATAGGTACATGCCACCACATCTGGCATGGAATGTGTTTTGTGTAGCAAGGTTTTTAGAGGAAAGGGTTAGCTTGACCAATGAAGTGAGAAGAGATATCCCAGCAAAAGTGTGTGGTATAGCTCTGAGCTGGAAAACTCTCAAACTCACAAAGCTGCATGGGCTGTAGAGAGTCCCCTTTGAGGGGTTTCCCTGCTGAGATAACTTCCCTGGGCCACCTTCAGGTACTTATAGAATGCTGCTTCCTGATTTCCTCCAAGTGTGTGGTTTGCTTCTGGTCTACACTGGCTGCCTCAGCACAAGATCACTGCATCAAGCCCACAGTTTACAAAGCAGAGTCATATCCATTATCTTGAATGATGTTCACAAAACCTTTCCTGCTAGAGGCTTTTTCCTGGCACTTGATACAGGAAAACACTGAGCTCAACCAAACAGGACACTGGCGCAGGTCCCAGGGCCATCAGAGATGAGACTGGATCTCATGGCCTCTTACTCCTAGGCCATTGTCCTTTCCACACCCTTTTCTCTTGATTTACTGCCAGGGTATAAGACAAGTCAGAAAATCCCCATTCATGTGGTCACTGCTGCAGAGCTGGGCCACTTTTCTGGAGTGAAAAGATAATGCTGTGGCCCCCACCCACTGTCCCTACCCCAGTGGCTCCCTCTACTCCATGCAGCTGTGCCTCACCTAAGAAGTTGATAGCCACAATGATGATGACGATCCCCAGGATGATGAAGCTGATGCTGAGCAGCCGGGCCAGGCGGCCTAGCCTCTGGGCCCCATCCATGTCCCCATGCTGCATGCTACTTCGAGACTGCAGAGAAAGAACAGAGCCCTCAGGAAGTTTGTCCATTGGCTGTCCAGGCTTGGCAGCCCCTCTGGATGGGTTTCCAGACACACCCTATCCCCAGTGCTACTCCCACCCCACTAGCCCTCCCAAGGGAGAGGAAGAAGAGTCCTCCTGGAGAGCTGAGGACCCCTCGCTTCTTGTGGGGACCCCTGACCAAGCCTACCCCTCACTGGCAGGATACAGCTGGAAACATAACCAAGCAACACAGGCCACTTCCTCTCAGGATAGTAAGGGGGCAGTGTGGTAATGGCAGATGGTGTGATAGAGATCCAGGGACTAACAGGCTTGGCCAACTTGCAGGAGCAGACGGAGCAGAGCCCTCCAGACCCTGGCCTAAGGCTCAATTCTGCAGCCCCTTTCCAACCTGAAGACACCTCTGTGGCTTTTCCTGCCTCCTTTCCTCTGTGAGCCTCCCACTTGTCACAAAAGAAAACAAAAGCACTGCCCTCCCTCCCTCTACTTTCCATCCAAGACCACATCTTTGTTCTACCACTCTCACCTCCTGAATCACACAGGACAGATGAGGGGTCTTGGGTGGGGAAGGCAGAGCTGGAGCCTAGGAGCCCTGATCTGCCTGTCACTCCTTGGCGAGCTGTTTCTCTTGGACCTAGTTAATCTAGGGAAACCAGGTGGATGCAAGAGCTGATGGGAAAATTAAGAATGTGGAGGACCCTGGGAGGGTCTCGGCGCCTTGAGGTATGTCCAAATATTTGCAGAGGTGCCTTCATGCCCCTGCTTAGGATGACCAAGGGTCACCTGCTGGCTAGGTCTGGCCCCATGACCTTAGGCTCTTACTCTAGAATTCATCTGTTCTTCTCAGGCTTCCTGGACTTGTCCCAGCTCCACTAGGAGCAGGGCCAAGCAGGATCTGCCCAAGTGTGACTGCTTTCAGGGCCTCAGGTCGCACATTTGGTTATTTCATATTCTAATTCTTAGAGGCTCCTAAGTTCAGCATGGAAATGTAGTTAAGTACTTTGATGATGACAACAATGACAATGGTGGTGGTGGTGGTGATGATTTATCAACCCCTTACTTTGTGCCAGGAAGCTTCCTTAGGTCAGTACCCAGTGATCTCATTCAGCCTCACAATCATGGTGGGAGGCTGGCAGTGCTGCCCCATCCCTGATGACAAAGCTGAAGTTCAGAAATGTGAAAAATGTGGCCCTTCCACTCTTTTCTCCTGGTGCAGGTGCCTGCCCCTTTCTGCAGTCCTGTCCTCCATGGCTCAGAATTCTAACCACCTCCACCCACCCACCCACCCACAACTCTATACTTCCACTATGAGTTACTTCCAGGACAGTGTGACATCTAATTCAGTCTGCTCCTTGCCTTGTGTGACTCCTCCCAGTTGCCCAAGCCCCATTTATTGGCAGTAGCCTGCAGTCCAACCTCTAGATCACAATGCCTCTGCCTTCTCACTTTGCTAATTTACTCATTTATTTTAATGGTGCTGGGCATTGAACCCAGGGTCTTGTGCTGGGTCAAGTACTCTGCCACTGAGCTACATATACTCCCAGCCCCCAACTTGCTAATTTATTTCCCTTCCCGTCAGTTCCACTGCTACTCTCCCCTTACAACTTCCTTGCACCCGCTCTAGTTCCAAGCACCCGTTTTCATGTGAGTCATGGCAACAGCCTCTTAAAGATTCTTCTGGCTTCAAGCTGTTACTCTTCATTCTACTCTCCATGCCACCTGTGCCACTGTTTCACATCACAGATATTTATATCAGGTACTGTGCTAGGTCCCCAGGACATAGCAGTGCGCAAGGAAGTCCCAGTCTCCATACTGATGGAACTGATAGCCTGCTGTCCTTTGCAGTCACACAAATAAAGGTAGAATTACAACTGTGGGTAGTGTTACAGAGGAGAGATACGTGGTACTGTGAGTGTTTATGAAAGTGGAGTCAGGAAAAACTTCCAGAATGGAGGGCTCTGGGGTTAATGTGAAGGATGGGTAAGAATTAAATGCATTCTTTTTCAAAAGAATTCCAGGCAGAAGTAACACCGAGTGCTGGCTGGAGCTGATAGAGGACAAGGGGACCACAGGTGTGGATGAAGCTGTGCCAAAAGGAAGGAGTCCAGGTGCGGTAGCACACGCTTGTGATCCCAGCCCTCTGGGAGGCTGAGGCAAGGGAATCACAAGCTTGAGACCAGCCTGGGCGACTTAGTGACTTAGACCCTGTCTCAAATTTTTAAAAAACTTAAAAGGAGCTGGGTATGTAGCTTAGTGCAAGGGTCCTGGGTTCAATCCTCAGTACTGGAAAAGTAAGTAAACAGATAAAAAGGAAAGACATCTTTGTTCAAGAAGCTTTGAAAGCCAGTGAAAAGTGTAAGTCCAGGGGCAGGGGAATGAAATGATTGCATGCCAGTTTCTTTTTTTTTTTTTTTTTGGTACCGGGGATCGAACTCAGGTCCTTGCGCTTGCACAGCAGGCAGCAAAAACACTGATCTAAATCCCCGGCCTGGGATGCCAGTTTCTAAAAGACCCCTCTGGCTGTTGTGTGGGGATCAGAGAGGAGTCAAAAGGCAAAGAGGGGCTATCAACAAAACAGCGGTGGGCCAGGTGGTCTCACCTGCTTAGGGTCTTATATGGCTCCCCATTGTCTACAGAACAAAAACTGAACCCAGAGTAGCTTAATATTTCCTGTTCTTAATGCTCTACTCCTCTCTTCAACAATCTCTGGGCCTAGCCAATCTGAGCTTCCAAGGTTTTATCCCTGATCTTTACATGCCTTTGCTCCTTTCTACATTCCTGCTGCCCCAAACTTCACATATCCAAATCCTTCCCATTGTTCAAGGGCCAGCTCTGATGCCACCTTCCCTGGTGTTATGGCTTGTGTTTAGACGTCCTCCCAAAGTCTCAAGCTTTTTCAGAGGTGGCTGAATCTGGAATGTGTGATTCTGGGATTTAAGGCATGTGATTGCTGAACTACTACATGTGAGTGATTGGTTTGGCACCGTCCTAATCCCAGTAGTCTGGATGGGATAAAAGGGGCAGAAAGACACTGTTAAGGTCCCTTATTCCTTTTGCTGTGTTTTGCCGCCATGAACTGTTTCCCCTCTGCCATGTGCCACTCTGCCTTGGAGCCAGCTGATTATGGGCTGAAACCTCTACAAACTGTGAGTTAATTAAACCCTTTCCCCTCTAACCTTTGGGTGTCAGGTATTTTGTCTCAGCAACAAAGGAAAAACTAATTAACACATCTGGGAAGTCCACCATGATTCCTCTACCTCTATAATAAACCCCCACATTATTTGAGTTTTTACCTTGTGCCAGAAACTACAGCATAGTTTTCCATCCATTAGGGCATTGAATCCTCCAAACTGCTGTGAGGCAAGGATGGAGCCTGAGCATAGAGTGCTATGTGGGCATGGTGAGAGAAGCAACTGGTGGAGAAAGGTCATGTCAGAAGGGCACTGAGGGCCAGGGATTTAGCTCAGTGGCACTGTGCCTGCCTTGCAAGTGCAAGGTCCTGAGTTTGATCCCCAGTACCAGAAAAAAAAGAAAAAGAAAAAGAAGGGCTCTGACTACTGCATAAAAAGGACTGGATTTGGTCCTCTGGACAATGGGGGCCAATGAAGGATTTTAAGTGGGGATGTAATCAGATCTGCATTTTAGGAACAACTTCTCTGACTATGGTAGAGTACAGGCTAGAGAGGTAGGGGTGGAGGCAGATACAGTCAAAGACTTCACATAAGTAGGAAACTGGAAAAGTTTAGACTGGAGATGTTATAAAAAGAGAAGGCCAAATGGAGTGGGACAGAGACTTGTCGGGATGATTTCCAGGTTTCTGCTCGGGTGAGAGATGAACAGAGGTGCCCTTCCCAGAGGTGGAGGAGGGCCTGTTCAGTGTCAGACTATTCCTGCCGCGGTTTCAGGCACTGTGGATGTGTCACTGCAGTGTGACCAGTGGGAGTCAACACAGCACAGAAAGGGAGCAGAAGTCTGGGGTGGATGAGATCCAGGTGGGGAGAGAACAGATCCATAGACACAGATGTGAGGGCTTCCCTCTTGGTGAAGTCCCCTATTCGTCTCATCCAGCCGTAGCTACAACCACTGAACTTCTTGGAGCTGTTAAATCAGCTCACCTGCCTTGCCTGTCAAATGGGGGTAAATAAACAGACTGGCAGACTCACATAAAAGCATGGTCTGCAGGGCCGGGGATTTAGCTCAGTGGTTCCGCCGCCTGCCTCAAAAGCACAAGGTCCCGAGTTTGATCCCCGGTACGAAAAAAACCAAAAAAAAAACCCCAGCTCCAGAGGGGCTATCAGAGCTGTGGGTCTCCTTCCCCCTCTGCGGGCCAGGGCTTCACCCTGCGTTTGGAAACCAATGCGGGGCTTGTAATGAGGAGTTCGGAAGTGCATCCCTGGGGCCTGGAGCCACCAACACAGGACACTAACTCTCAGGCCACACTCTATCCCTCTTCCTCACCCCAGATAAATAACTGACCCCTGGGTCCCCAGGGAGTGGGAGTGGCCTGGGAAACATACTGGCTTCCAGAACAGAAAAAACAAAGGTGAGTATATCCAGTAATGCTACCCCCAACCCCCTCGGTTCCTGAGAAAGTAGTGTAGTGTGAAGAGTAGAAAGAGGGCTTTTGCTCTAGGCAGCCAGGCTGGTTCCAATCTTGGGATTCCCACTTCCAAGCAGGTTACTTCATGTCTCTGTGCCTCAGTCTTCTCAATTGTACAATGAGAATAACAACAGTACTGGGATCTCATGGGGATAACAGTTAGGGTTAAATGAGATAATACATGCAAAGAATTTGGAACTGTGCCTAACACTTAAGAAGCACTCAGTGAAGCACTGGGCTCCCTCAACTTCCTTCTTCTGGGCTCCTGATGTTTCCTTTAGACATTCATTTCCACAACTATATTCTATATCTTGCCATTACTCCACCTGGCCATCCTCTGTAATTTCAACCTCCAGCATCTGTCTCACCCCTATTACGCTAATTGCACTTGCCCATGACCCCTCCCTCTCCTGGAAGGCTATCACCATCTTCCTGACCTAACTCACTCCCCATTCAGCCCTATCTTTCTGCATTTCATCTCAGTCACTCTTGCCTGAATCTTCTGTAGCATCTGGTCCTGTTGTCATGGCAACTGTGCCATCCCCACCGTTGGGTTGACCCAATGCATGCCTGTGTCACAAACCTACATCTACACCTGGAGAAGATCACATCACTGTGTAGGCTGAACCCCAAGCCATGGTCTCCAGCCTCAGCACAGCCCACTGCCATTGGACTGTCTGTCCTTGGTCATCTCCCCACCCCCTTTTATCACCAGACCCCCATTTCTCAGTAAATGACCTTGCCTCCTGCATCTGTGGTAGCATGGAAGCTTTAGAGCTGACACAGTTCCCTTTCCTGAGTGTTTCCTCCTGCCTCTGCCTTCGTGACCTTTCCTCTTCAGAGACCTCACCCCATCAATCACTCTCCTGTTGTCTAGGCCTCTCTATCTCCAGGGGCACCAGAGATCTAGGAATGGCCAACCCAGCAGACACTCCTGTCCTCCTTAAACCTCTCCACAAGCTTTTTCCACTCCCTCCTTCTTCAGATTCACTCTTGCTCCTTACTTTTCCTCCCACATCCTAGAATCTCCTTTTCAAAACCCCTTTCTCTCCACCTTCCTCTGTCACCTCTTACGTGTTGTGGATCCCAGATTTCCCTCTAGGATGGCTCCACCAGGCTTCTCTAGGATATTTCTGAGTTGGATAGCCAGGAGCCTGAAGCAACATGGCTCTGCCACCCTTAGCAACCCTCCTACCATTGCCCTTCCTTCTGAACCCGTTGCTGAGTTCAGACCTTCATCATTCCTGCCTGGACATGGGCCTCCCCATTGTAGGCCATTTTCCCACAATGCAGTTGAGTGTTAGTCTTAAAATATGAACTGACTGTATCATGCCTCTGCTTGAAATTTTTCTGGGGCTCTTCAGAACCACTGAACTAAAAGTTAAATTCCTAGAGCAAGTCTTGAGCTGCCTCCAGCTCCCATTGCACTCTAGCACCCTTCTGTCACAACAAGCAGACCATCCACTTATCTTAGCCATCTACTTCCCAAATGTCTAGCACAGGGCCTGAGTCCTAAAAGAGGCACACTCATTTATGGGCCTAGGTATCTCTACTTCTTAATTCCCCCCAAACAAGCAACTTGCCGTTCGAGTCAACTAAAAATAAATAAATAAATAAGTGAATGGTCAATGTAAACCACTCTTAGAAGGTTTCTAGAAGCCCGCTCTGGCCCTTCCCATGACCTGGTCCAAGCCTCTTCACCTCTGATCTGTACCTTCACACCAAATGCCAGGCTTATTTCCTTCAGCCCTTCCTCTCACCCTACAGCAGACTGACCACCAAATGGAAGTCTGGCCACACTCCTCTCCAGTCCAAACCCCACATCTGCAGGCTGCCACAGGGAGGAGGCTAGAAGACACTATACTGAATGAAAGAAGTCACCTCTTATGTAACATGATTCCATTTCTACAAAGTGTCCAGAAAAGGCAAATCTATAGGGACAGATAGATTACTGTTTGCTTAGGGCTGGGAGGGATCAGGTGTGGGCCAGCAATAGCTACAGTGTACGAGGGTTTTTTTGGAGGTGAGGAAAATGTTCTAAAATTGACTGTGGTTAAGTTGCAACTATCTGCAAGTACACTAAAAGCCACTGAATTACTATTCAGGCATTTAAAAAATACTGTCACTTACTGCAGGACTGATGGAACTGGAGATCATTTTGTTAAGTGTAAGAGCCAGGTACAGAAGAAAGACGAGGACCACATGATCTCCCTCACAAGTGGAATCTGAAAAGGCTGATCTCATAGAAATTAAGAGTAGAATGGTGGCCACCAGAGGCTGGGAGAGTTGCAGCGGGGAGGGATGGGGAGAGGTTGATCAATGGGCACAGGTTACAGTTAGAGAAGAGCAAGAAGTTCAGGAATTCTTTTGCAAAGTAGGGTGACTACACATAGCGATTATGCACTATACCTTTCAAAAAGTGGAAAGAAAGGATTATGAAAGTTTCTATCATAAAGAAATGATAAATATTTGAGGACATAGATATGTTTAACCCGATTTAAACATTACACAATGTGTACATGTATGGAAACATAATATGGCATCCCATTAAGGTGTGCAGTTTTTATGTATCAGTACAAAATAATTTTTTAGGGGCAGGGTATATAGCTTAGTAGTAGAGCACTTGGCCACTAGCATGCATGAGAGCCTTGGTTTGATCCTTAGCACCACAAAAAATAATATTTTCCAAAAGTTATGTACTTTAGATGTTACATACATTTAAGTGAATAATATAGTATATGAGTTATATCTCAAAAAGGCTATTTTTAAAACCCAGTGCTAGGGGTGTAGCTAAGTGGTGTAGGGCGTGGCTGGCATGCACAAAGCCCTGGGTTTGATTCCAGAACTGCAAAAACAAAAACCCTAGAATGGCTTCCCACGTTTCACTAGGGAGACTCCCAGCTACCACTTAGCTACTATCAGCATGAAATAGCATTTAGGGTGTGCTGGTGTTTTTCTTAAGCACTTAGTGTGGTGCATCTCATTTTACTCTCACAGCACTCTAAGGCAGACATTGTGGCTACACCCATTTTGCTGATGGGTAAATTGAGAAGAGGGGTTTGAGTGACTTGCCCAAGACTACCTAATTCCCTTGTGGTTATGTGTAGCATAGGCCCTTCTTCCAATATGTCTCAAGGAGCTGTTTACATGTTTCTCCCCACTAGGCTGCAGGCTCCTGGGACTTGGCCACAGTGTCTGGTTTAGTGCTGTATTCCTTGTGCCCAGCACAAAAGCCATCAACCCTGACTTAAGAACTTTAAAAGGTCCTAGAAATTCCAGGGCTGGGTTCAATGGTCTTGCACTCTTGGGCCCAAGTTCCCTTTGGCAAAGGTAGCTCCTACCCAGCCTGTACCACCCACACACACGCTAGAAGACAGATTCTAGGTGTCTTCCAGAATGAGTTCTCCTGAGCTATTGTGTGATTTCCCTCCTCAAAGCCTGCCCCTCCTGGGAACGTTGCTGTAACCAAGAGGTTACACAGGTGCCCAGAGCAACTGGCTGCACCCTTGGGGCCTGGCAGTGTCCCCCAGCTGTCCCTAAGTACAGCAGGCAGCACAGGAAGTTTCTTCAGAAGGCCTTGCCCAATATCTAGTATTCATATATCCATATTCTCATTTCTCATTCCCCCTCTCCCTCTCTCTCTCTCCCTCTCTCTCTCTCCCTCTCTCTCCCTCTCTCTCTCTCCC